TGGCGCTGGGGCAGGTGCAGCGCGTCCCGGGCCGGGGTTCCCCCCGGCCGGGAGCGGAGGCGAGGCTTGGGCCGGGCGCAGGTGGGAGAGTTTTTGGGAAGAGGGGGCTCCCGAGGAAGCCCATACTGGGTGTTTCTCCCAGCAGCGCTGTTCTGGCGCTTGTTTTTTTATCGCGGTAGAACCCAGCCTGAACGCTTCGCTTTGCACATGTGAAGCAGAACTGAATTCACAGCCGATTTTAAAGCACACCGCAAGGCGTTGGCGTGTTGGGGGACGGAGCAACGTCGGGGCCAGCGCCGTGCCTCATTGCCGTGATTTTTACCCCTCTCAAACAGCCTTTGAGCTGGACACCTTCAACCTGCCTTTGGTCGGGTTGCCCGCGGTGGCTTGCTTGATCTCGGGGAAGCACTAGGGAAGGCAGGGCCGTCTCTCGCGCCGTAGGCGAGCCTACGAACGCAGCCTGCCCGCCAGCTCCCCTTCCCTCCGCTGACCCCTCTCACCTCTGCGGCACTGAAGATGAAAGGGAGTCAAGGCTGCAACTTAGGCGGGGCAAAGACGGAGCTTTACCTCTCACCGGAGCGAGTGTAACATGCCCTTAGTTTCTCCCACCTGCCTCATTAAGTGCTGGAAGTCACACCTGGCCCTGCCAGAAGAGATGGCCTCCCTTTAACAAGCTCAGTCCAAGATTAAGAGCTCCAGACTCCCAGCACTGTAATGAAATGACCTGTTCTCAGCTGGGCTGAGAAGCACCGCTGAGGGGGGAGGAAGCGAGTACGCCTTATCATCGCCGCTGTCCTTGCCTTGCAGTTGTTTTCCCCGTTGGTATCTATCCGCTTCCGCCCACCCCGTGTTAAGGCTGGCTCTCGGTGCGATGCACCCCATTCCCTTTTCAGAAAGACTCCTGTGCTGAGAGCGCGAGCGGCTCAGCCGGTGCGAGGCGGAGCAATGCAAACCCTCCGCCGCGTTCCCGGGATGGATTTCCATGTTGTGTCTGGCAGCGCTAAGTGATGCTCTGGGAGTCCCGCACCGCCGACGTCCCACTTGGGCACCTCTTGACTTCATGCCAGCATTTGCTGTCTGACTTGTTCCTTCTCTCCTTGTCCTGTTGCTGCACAGTGGGCGACGGGTTTCTGTGAAAGCTCAGGTGGGGAGACATCCTTTTCCCTGGCTTGGCTGGTGTTTAACATAGCGCTGGCTGCTATGTTAAATAAACCTGATGCTCTGCTAGGGAGGTCTTTGCCTTTTGGTGTGAGATCTGCTTGCAAACAGCTGGCCGAGCTGGTGAAATCCTTTGGAAGAAGATATCAGAGTGCGTGCATGCAGCAAGTGTTTGAGAGGTGCTGCCAGGCTCTTCTTGCTGCTTCCAGCCCCCTGCAGCGAGTCCCAGAGGTGCAAAGGGTCAGATCTGCATCTGTTAGATCTGAGGCTGAGCGCACGTGGCTTACGAGCATCCATCCCTGCTGAGCGCAGCCTGCTGGGCTGGTTTCATGGTATTTCTAGGGCTTGTTGTTCCCCTTGTGCTGCCCTACCTGTATGATTGCAGCTATAGTAGTGTAAGTTTCCTTGGTCTAATTAACCCTTTAATGCAGGGCTAACACCAGCCGTGTATAAGCAGCCTCTTAGGTGGGATACGTTCACCCTGAAGCTCCTGGGCCCTGATCTGCTGCCTGCGTTTTGCGGAACTGAGATAGAGAAGTCAAATACGACCTTTGAAGTGACAGAAAGGCCACGGAGAGGTGAATGCAAAATACAAGTCTCTTGATACCGCTATAGTTTCTTGCCCTGGATAAGGGCAGCCTGCAAATCTGGTGTGGGCACTTCACACCGAGGGTCTGGGCTGAGAGCATGGAAAGACCGCACAAGGAAAGACTGCCAGATCATCCCCTCCGATAGCACTGCCCACAACAGGAGTATATTAACATTATGTGGAGCATTGCTTTGTATGTGATTCACAGCACTGATAGGAAGAATTCATCCTGGGGCTTCCAGTGAGCTCAGCATCAAACGTGTGCGTCTCAAAACCGCCCTACTTGCTCAGTCGTGTTTGCCAGCATTCGCCTCGTGAAGCCCTGGCCTCTTCCTGAAGTCTGGGAAGCGTCGCTGTCCGGCGGATGAACAGCGTGGTCTGCAGCGGAAGTGAAAAAAACCGAGCACGAGTCCCGCTCAGCTCGTCCGGCGTGGCTTTTGCCTGCCAGCTGCTGTTCGTCCCATCCACGCAACGGTGCCGTAGACTGAGGGGTGGCTCGCAGGACGGCGGTGAGCGGGGCTGGTAGCTGCCGCGTGGCACGCTGTACGTCCCTGATCCGCAGGAGGAGGCCGGTCCGAAGGGCAGAGCGCTGCTCTGTCGCACTAACAGCAGGCTGTAACACCCGCCGCAGACCCTGCGTGATTTTGGGCAAGTTGGGTAGTTTGCTGGTGCCTTCTCTGTCAAGTGTGTTTAAAATCATTTACCTGTTGCAAGGGTGAGATGAAAGGAAAATAAGTGAAAGACTATAACATTCTCAGAGGGATTTAAGATTGCATTGTCTAGGTAATTAAACACTTCAGGCTTAATTTGATTCAGCGGACAGGTCTTCTGGATGCTGCTTGAGAGATGGCATGCATCAGCGTGTCGTTAGGGCTTGTCTGCTCCTCTCTGCCTGCTTCTCTCGGCTGAAATCATCAGAGGCATCATCCTCTCTCTGCTACGAGATAGCAAGCTGCTGCCGTCAGCAGGACGCTCTGACCTCTGTCATGCATTGGGCAGATGTTAATTTAAAATGTATAGCTTGAGACTCGTGAGACTTGTTATCTAGTCCATTTCTGATCGTCCAGGTCAAATAATATTAGAAAGGGCAACTATTTTCCCTGTCTTAGTTTAAAAAATACACTTTCCGGCTCAAGGTGCCGCCTTTCTCTTTTCTTGGGGAAGCCTCAGCAGCCTGGCGAGCGGGCCGAGGTGACTCACGAGCAGCGACGGTCTGCTCGGAGCACGCTGGCTGCGTGCTGGAGCTCGCAGTTACGCACAGCCCCAAACGGCGCGAGCCAGTTACAGGGCTGATGAATGATCCGACGTGCCTAGTTACTCTAGCGATGAATTGTCATGAGTTCTTAATTAGCAAACTGGTTAATTTTACTTGGGAAAGTTGACGATTAGAATGACAATAGGAGCTTTGTGCGTTCTTCTAAGAAGTGTTCAAAATCAGTCTCCTTCCTTGGATAGCTAATTGCAGAAGGCTATTCCACAGAGCTGCTCCTAACGTTCCTGTATCAGCCTCTTAGCTATTTCTAGCAGTACACGTTCCTGCATTATCTGGTATCTGCTGTAATCTAGTTCCGGGATGGTACTAATCACAAGAGACTTCCAAAACCTGGAAGGGACAAGGAGCAAATCCATAAGGAAACTCTGCCTACTGTACTCATTAATACTCTCAACAGCGGTCTTCTATTCTAGCACCCCATAAATGGCTTGCTGCTTGCTTTGAAGTTGGTTAATCTTGTCTGGCTTTCTCTTCTCTTTTTTCAGGGGCCAGTTTGGGATTAAGAGCCCGTGACTGACAATGCTCTGCTTTCTGCTCTCCTGAGCTTTATGCAAAGTTTTTATAGCTGTAATTGTCTCTGCAGAGTGTAGCTTGTCCCAGGCGGCGCTTGCGTCTCCTGGTGCCCTGCTGGTATTAAAGCCATGCCTCTGGAGGAGACAGAAGAGCAACTGAGAGCGGATTGCGCTCCAAGGAAAGAGGAACACAGTGTGACCAAGCTACCTCCAAATGCAGCATCTTCCAATTACTCCATTGCTCTACGTTTTGTATCAACAGCAGATACAGCCGGAGCAGCTCAGAGGTGGATGGCAGAGTGCCTTCAGTCCCCGACAAGTGTCACCATGGATGTCTCACCCTCTCACACCTACCCGTTCCATAACAGTCCATCCTACATGTGATGCTTGTCAGTGTCAGCAGATTTTGGATTTATTGCCAGGGAAGGAAATAAACTACCGTGACTATTAATTGAGTAATAGTGAGTAATTCATTAACTATGAGTAATTATCACCGTTAAGTTATGCTGGTGTAAATAAGAAGAGAGTCGGGTCCATGAGATTTGATATTTGGTTCTGACATGCCTCCGTGTAAATCAGGAGTGATCCTCCTACACTAGTGAGGTTACTGTGATTTGAAATTGGACGGGGGTCAGAATCTGGTTTAGTATTCCTGGCTTCATAACGTAGGTTTATTGGGTGATGGGGACGAGGGCGGTGCTCCCCATTTCCCACTTTGTGCTGTGTGCCCATCCCCACGTTGACGATGCAGCCCGGGTCACGCGGCCAGGCTTTGTCCCAGTTGAACTGGGGCTCTCCCACTCGCTGAAAATGTCAATAACGGGGGATCTTGGGACGCTTTGCAAACATTAATTTACTCTCAGCTTTTGTTAGCGAATGTATGTGTTTTCCATGTTTGCTGGTAGATACCAGCGTGAGGTCGATCTTCAGCATGTGTTGAGTCCTAGAACAATAAAGCAAGCTATTTCCATTGAATGAAAAAGTGGTAAACTGGCTAGAAAAGAGCCATATCTTCTGGCTCCCACAGAAGTATTACATGGAATGAAGGGTACTAACTGCCCCAATGTCAGAGAATTGCTGAGGACCAGGCCCAGAAAGGATTGCCAGACGCTCCACTGAACGCCAGATGAAGCAATATAAGTGAAAGCCATCTGTCTCTACCGCAAGGCTGAGTGGTGACTTTCAGACTTTCACAGTTAACTTCATTTACTGTTTCCTGTTTGCAAAAAGCAACAAACTGACTAAATGAAGGCCTTCTGTATGCGGTTTATGTAGCGCCCGACTTGTCCTGGCCCAGTCACGCTCTTAAAAGTTCAGCATTGGACTAGGTTGTGCGGAAGAGCACAGCAGTCTATTTTTATTTTTTGTTATGTGTTGCCTTTAAAACAGGGCCAGAAAAAAAGAGCTTTAAACGTTGGCTGACACCTTAATTGCTACCTCACAATTAATGGCTACGGGCTTTCTTGGACAGCTCCTCCGTGAATGTTGCGCACAAACATAATCAACACCTGGTTTTGGAAGAAGCCTTCCATGCTTTTTGTTAAGTCATCTTTCTAAGTTTTGTGCCAAGCGGTCTGTCTAAATTGAACTGCATTTAAATGAGGTGAGTGTGCAATGGATCATCTGACCGCCGACGTTTCCTTCCAAGTTTTGTGACAAATTGCTCTAATACAAACACCGTCTCTCATACTTTGAACTTACAGCTGCAATTAAATACTGATCCTTTAAGTCTTATCTGGAAAAGCAATGTAGTAATAGCACTCATGCATGTTTGCACAGAAAAGCGGAGAGGTGTGCATGTGGCAGGTGCTTACAGACCTCTTAATTTAGTTTGCAGGGGTCACAGTAATGTTAAAGACATGAGCAATGATGTTGGTACGCTCTAGGACCTTCAAGGCAAGCTCTCTGGGAAACAAAGCATATATTGTGATTTCTTTATCGTCTTTACTGAGCTGTCGTTGCATGTCAGCCGAGTTGCATCAGCACAAGTGGTTTTACTAGTTTAGTGTATAGACAAAGGGAGACGAATATTATGCAAATACTACGAGCAAAGAAAGGGTGCTGATCAGTCACTGAAATCCCCATAACACTTTTGTTTTGTCTGAATGATTAGCAGGATCTAATGACTGACACTGGAATGAGTCTGCAGGGCACACAGCTAGGTGATCAGTCATCTCTCGTTACCACTTCCTCCGGTTAACTGCAAGCTAATCAGAGCAGTTGAGTCAATGAGGACCTCAGGAGAAACAAGACCTCCCCAAAATGCTGGCAGACATCGGTAGAAGCTCTGGTTTCCTCTCCCCCGGCCCCCGCCTTGGTCTTCTCCTATCTTTAATGCACATAATTAACTTTGAATGCAGTCATATTTCTGTCACTCTAGCCCTTCACGCATAGTCTGTCAATAAAAGTCGTTGGCCTGGCGGTAATGAAGGAATACGTGCCCACTTCTGGGGTCACGTGCTCCTGCAGCTCATTGCGTTTCCGTGCTTGCTCCACGCAAGCGACAGTCCTCCTGAAATAACTTTTGCTACAGCCTCATTTCTCCTTTGGATCCTGCAAACCCCTACTTGCATTCCTTGCTGTCTTGGCAGTTTCTGTTGTTCTTAAGCATAACATTGATTAGGTTGTAGCATTACGGCTGCGGACTTCAAGCTCTGTTAGACCTTAATTTTTACGTTTGGTGTATAGAAGTGGAATACGAGTTAATTTTTCCCCATATAATCCAAGATAAGCATAATTACGGGATCCCTTAATATTGTAACATAATTTTGGGAGGAAGGTGGTTGCATGCTGTGGGAGTCGCTGACTTGCCACTGTACCTTCATTATGAAGGTATTGGTTTTGCCTTTTCTTTCTGAAGCCCAGTTATCTGTGACTTGTCAGAAATAATTGAGTGGTCTGATTACTTTGGCCTCCCTTCCGTGGGCATTCACCCAAGTCATTAATACAAGAATTACTCTGCTGAGATCTCTTTCCATTCAGTAGGTTTGACAGGGCTCAGGTAGAGTTGCTACACTATATTCAGCAGTGCTTTTAAGAAAATTAGGAGCCCAGATGGGCGTGTGCTGGGGAGGCTCTTATGCTGGCTGTTTTCTAAACCAGAATCATGTCACTCAGATCCACTAGCTTTTGTGCATTCACATTAAAGAGTACTCGCATTTATCCCCAGGTGTTTGAACAGTCTCCATTGCTCCCAGATTGGTGTGAACAACGCTGCTATCCAAAATAAATGAAGTGTGTGAAGACAGACCGTTTCGAGACATTTAGGAATGCAGCTATTCCAGACGTCTCGCTCTGCTCTCACCTAATTTGTTAATGGGTATGTTTTTCCCTATAGGAGGGTAATGCTTTTCTCTGTGACATTTTGCAAAGGACTTTCTAAACCTTCTTTTGTCCCTTTGGGTAAAATCAGTTGAATTGGCTTCTTTTCTTGTGCCCTTCTATTTTCCCTGGGGAATCTGGGTTGATTCTTAACCGTTTCTTTCCTCCAGGACTTGCTGCTCGTATGATGGAAACACTTAGAGGTCTAACATGTCTAGACACAGCATGGGCAGCTGGTAAGTTCACTAAGGAGAGACTTGTCTCTCGCTATCTAAATAGATAAGGTATATGGACAAAGAGAAGATATATTAGTTCATTTTATATATGAGGAACTGAAACAGCAGACTCACGCAGGGATGTGCAGGGAGTTTCTGACACCACCGGGAACTGTTGCTAGATCTCTGGGGTCACTGGAGATCCTTGTGCTGTTTGCAGGACACGTTGTTGAATGGAAGCATTTACAAATGCTTCCAAGTCTCCAACCACCCTTGGGACGCAGGTGCATGTCACCACCACGGTAATATATGGTGGATCGAGGACCAGAGAGCGAGGACTCCCTGCGGCATGAGACTCATCGCACCAGGCAGGCAGCTGCATCCCATATGTAGCTGCGGACAAAACGCTCGACTACGCGCTTGCTCTGCGGTGGCTTGAACAGCTAGGACGGCTGCTGTGCTCTTTGATTTATACGGACAGGCTACGAGCACGCCCGCTGCCCGTTTCCTTCGGAGTTTGTCACGACCTGACACACGCCGTTCCCGAGATGCCTTGCAGAGCTCAATCAATGTCCTCCGGTCGCAGGAGGGAAACGTGCTGAGCCAGCCCTGCAGCCTCGGCAGTGGGTACCTTCCCCACAGACCTGGAAGAGCTTTTTGAGCGGGTCTGTCTGACTTTCCTATATTTTTTCCTCCTTCCTTTCACTGCTTATTGCTTCTCTTTGCTATCTCTCCGGCTGCATTTCGGGTGAGTTGCAGTTCTGTGCTTAGGCAGGGCGTTGCCAAATTGTTTTGTGGTCAAAACATGTCTTTTGCGAAGGAAAATACCTTCATTCCGTAGGAATCGATGAAGGAGAGTATTAATCTAAAAGCTGCCGTAGACTGATTTAGAACAGCATAAATAACAATTTGATATTATGAACGATGAATGGGAGGAAAGATTTGAACTGCCACTGCGAAACAGTGATGTGTAACCTGTAAAACATGAGAAGCGTTTTATGGGAGACGATATTTTCTCTGTTATTTCTTCATTTGCTTTACTTAAAGATACCCACCTCTTACAAATTCATCTTCTGCTCCGAAGCCCCCAAGAAAGAGGCAGAAAGAGGAGGGATATTTTAAACTTGCTTTAAAACGGTACTGCTAATGTTACTGTGCTTCGAAGCATGATTAATACGGTGTTGCTCAGAACGCTGCTTCTGAGTCCACCTTCCCTGGGATCCTCAGATCGGTATCTGATACCAACGCCTTGAAATCACCAGATTAGAAATTAGACTCCACCTCTGTGGCCTAGACCCGATGACCCGCTGGAGTCGTAGAAAACATGCTTTCCTTTACGGTGAACTCTTCCAGCTAAAGCTGTTGCATTTGAGTCAAAACTGCACTCTTTGGGTGGAAAACATAAATTAAAGCCGTGCAATGCTGACCTAAGAATAAGAAGTGACTTGAAAAATCAGTAAGGAGCGCTCAGCAAAGACTGATGGCAGACTGGGATCTGGCGAGGGTTTAAACGCTTGCTTTACTCCGCTTGCGTGCGTTAGCACAGCGAAGAGGCCCCAGGGCTCTGGCGTGGGGTGACGGGAGGATTTAGGGCGGCCGCGAGCAAGGAAGCTCCCGGAGACGGGTCGCAGCCTGCGCAAGGGAGTGCGAGCTGGGCACTCACTGCTTTCAGATACCCGGACGGTGGGATCTAGAAACGGAAAATGAACATAGGTCATAAATATACAGAATCATTTTTTCAGGGAGCTCTGAAAAGCCTCTAAAATTCTCGTCATTGGTTGGATTTTCAGTAGTAGAAACGTGATCAGTTTGTACTGTCAGGCCTTGATCAGTTCAGCTTAATTAAATATATATATATACACTGTGGTAGTATGTGGATTATGCGGATACCTGTATTAGCCTGATGGATTTCTATACTGGTCACACATAGTGTCTTATTTTAGTCCAGTTGTTTTTTATTATGAGCTTTTATTCTTCTTATGAGAGTCTCCAAAAGACGTTTCTTCTGACAAATGCTGCTTAGGACAGATGTATGTTTATTCCCTTATAGTTATAGTTCCCTTATATATATCGAATGTCTTTGCCTATGTAACTCAAGTTTCTTCACTGGAGTTGCTCCTACTTTACCACTCTGAGAACAAAATTGGGGTAATTTTTGTGACTTTCCTTAGCAGAAGCTGATTTGTGTGCGTGTTTGCGTATCTGTTAATTAATATCCACTTCCTACTAACTGCAGGAATTCCTGCTTAGTAAATAGTGTAACAAAATGGGATGCACATAAAAAGAGGCAAAGAAGAAAACCCAGCGTTTGTTCTTCCTTTTTTTTTTCTAGCCATAAAGAGAGGCTGAATCAGTGAGGTGTTGAAATTTGCCGGACAGTTGTTTCTGGCATTGATAAGGATCTCATATGTTCCAATATAAAATGCTAAATTAATAATCAGCTTCCATGTCTTATAGCCATGCTAAACGCATAGCTTGTCTTTCTCTTAGGCCTTCTCCGGATCCACAGGTCTGAAGACTTTTCCCTGTGACCTGAGAGTGCAAAATCCAGACTAAACCAATGACTTAGGGCGCCTGCAGCATTTTAAACCCTTTTCTTTTTCCCCGTGAGTGGCTGGCTAACATGACCGGCATTCTTGTGTTATTTCCTCCCTGCAGTTGGGGATATTCAGCCTCACTAGCCTTGCTGGCTGCTCTGCAGGGCAGGAGCTCTCCAATGGGCTTCTCCAGCCGGTTGCTCAGTTCACATAATCTAGATCCCCCCAAGATGCTCTGGGAGGAGAGGAGGGACCTGGGAATGGCAGGGACATGCTCCGAAAAGGAAGCTCCAGGCTGAAGCAGCAAAACGTCGCCTCGCCGGTGGAATGGGAGTCTTGACCTCGAAGCAGTTGCCTTGTGTGCGTACAGAATCACAGCATCACGGAAGGGCTGAGGTTGGAAGGGACCTCTGGAGATCATCTAGTCCCACCTCCCCTGCTCAAGCAGGGTCCTCTAGAGCATATTTCCCAGGATCATGTCCAGACGGGTTTTGAATATCTCCAGCGAAGGAGACTCCACCACCTCTCTGGGCAACCTGTTCCAGCGCTCTGTCACCCTCACAGTCAAGAAGTTTTCCCTCATCTCCAGATGGAACCTCCTGTGGTTCAGTCTGTGGCCATTGCTTCTCGTCCTGTTGCTGGGCACCACGGAGAAGAGACTGGCCCTATCCTCTCACCACCCTCCCTTCAGGTACTTCTACCCATTGATCAGATCCCCCCCGAGCCTTCTCTTCTCCAGGCTGAAGAGGCCCAGCTCTCACAGCCTTTCCTCACAGGAGAGATGCTCCAGTCCCCTCATCCTCTTTGTAGCCCTCCGCTGGGCTCTCTCCAGTAGCGCCATGTCTCCCTTGTACAGGGGAGCCCAGAAGTGGACCCAGTACTCCAGGTGAGACCTCAGCAGGGCTGAGGAGAGGGGCAGGATCCCCTCCCTCCACCTGCTGGCAACACTCTGCCTGATGCACCCCAGGAGACCATTGGCCTTCTGGGCCACAAGGGCACCTTGCTGGCTCGTGGTCACCTTGTCGTCCACCGGAGGACTCCCAGGTCCTTCTCGGCAGAGCTGCTCTCCAGCAGGTCAACCCCCAGCCTGTCCTGGTGCATAGAGTTATTCCTGCCCAGGTGCAGGACCCTGCACTTGCCTTTGTTGAACTCCATGAGGTTCCTCTCTGCCCATCTCCCCAGCCTGTCCAGGTCCCTCTGAATGGCAGCACAGTCTTCTGGTGTGTCAGCCACTCCTCCCAGTTTTGCATCACTGTTTTGTACCCCTCTCTGCGTCCAGCCTGGCCTTGCCTCCAGGCCAGCTGAGCCTCACGTGCAAGGCACAGCTCCCGTGAACATGCCATTGCTTTTGTTTACTCGAGCTGTTTTGGAAACCCAGCAGCAGCCCGCAGCTGACGGACACACGCGGCTGGGGAACGGGCTAATAACGAGCCCTTAGTGAGATGCTATGCAAATCCATCTTCGATACCTAAAGCTGTGTGGCAGTTGATTTCTCAAAGATGCCTTTGTTGGGAACAAATAAACAAATTGTTAGCTCGGCGCGACAGGGCTGGGAAACCATACCAGCCTCCTATTTGCTGAGGTCCGTAGAAACGATGGGAGGACGCACGCAAAGCCCAGGGGTAATACCAGCATCTCATCTTCTCCAGGAAAACTGTCCCGTGGACACTTCAGGAATTACCCGCAGTAGAGGGAAGAAACAATCAAGACTGTAAAGGTCCTACCTGAAAGGATGGCGCAAATCTGCCCACGGCTCCCGACCGGAGGGCCATGATCGAACAAGGTCCCTATCCTCTGTTCATGAAAGCCGGGCTGCTTGAGAGGGGATCCAGCGCTGTGGGTCCTGATGGTTTTAAGGCGATTAAGGGAAATTACAGAGTACCCCCTCTTCCCGCAGCCTCTCGGGTACCTGGGCTGATGAGCTCGTTTGCGTGGGGCTCGTTGGCCAGACCGCACGAGGAGGCACAGCCAAAACATCCCGCTGGGAAGCAGGAGCCCACGTGGTGGCTGGGTCCATCCTTCGGCACCTCTTTTTCCTCCCCGTTTTGGTGGCGGGGAGAGGGGAGAGCAGCCCGGTTGGTTCTCCAGGGTGAGGGAAGACACGAGGAAGTGCTGTAGGGGTGCAAGGCGCAGGGGGAGGTTGGGGTGGGGGATCCCCACGTGTGGTTGGGGTCCGGGTGGGTGTCCCCATGTGTGGGAGGAGGGATTGCCATGTGTGGGTAGGGTCTGGGTGGGGGGATCTCATGCACGGGAGGTCCATGAGTGGGAGGTGGGGTAGGTGATCCTGAGGCGTGGGGGATCTGAGTGGGGGGATCCCTGCACATGGGAGGTGTGGGTGAGTGAACTGCACGTGTGGGTGGGGGCTGGGGGTTGTCCTCAGGTCTAGGTGGGGGATCCCCAGGTGTGGGAGGTGTGGGATGCCCCATGTAGGTGGGCTCTGGGTGGAGCGATGCCATGCACAAGCAGGGCCTGGGCGGGCGATCCCCACACGTGGGTGGGGTCCAGGTGGGGGAACCCTGCGTGTGGGAGGTCCGGGTGGGTGATCCCCACGCAGGCCTGGGGTGGGGATGGGAGGATTCCCGTGGGTGGGTGACCTGGGCTGGGAGGATCCCTGTGTGTAGGAGGGGAAGGGCAGGGATCCCGATGAGCGCAAGGCATGAGTGGGGAGGGATCTCCCTGAGTGTGGGAGGTCCGGGTGGGTGATCCCCACGCAGGCCTGGGGTGGGGATGGGAGGATTCCCGTGGGTGGGTGACCTGGGCTGGGAGGATCCCTGTGTGTAGGAGGGGAAGGGCAGGGATCCCGATGAGCGCAAGGCATGAGTGGGGAGGGATCTCCCTGAGTGGGGGGTCCAGTGGGCACCCACGCATGGGCGGGGTGAGGATACCCCGAACTGAGACCTGCCTGTGGGTGGGTGGTTACAGCCCGGTGGGAACCTACGTGTGGGCACGGTGGGGCTACCCCGAACCGGGACCCACGCGTGGGTGGGTGAGGATACCCCAAACTGAGACCTGCACATGGGTCCCGCCGCGGGGGTGGAGTAGGATATCCTGAACCGAGACCCACGCGTGGGTGGGGTGATCACAGTCCGGTGGTCACCCACGCGTGTGTGCGGTGGGGTTACCCCAACTTGGGACCCGCGCGTGGGTGGGGTGGTTACAGCCCGGAAGGGACCCACGCGGGGGCGGATGAGGATATCCTGAA